GAGGGCTGAGGGTCCACTAATATGTCTCAGGGCCCCCAAGACACTCACATCTGCTCCCTGAGAGGCAACAAAGTGTGAAATTGGCAAACTCAGTGAAATTTATCTCTGAGTGTCTCAGGAATTCTCCAGGTAGGGAATCAACCAAACCTCATTGCCCAAGACCCATAAGGCCAGCTCTGGCCATCAACCTGTCTGTCTGTCTGGATTTACCTGTCCACCGCTTTCTCACCACAGCCTCCAGTGAGCAATCACCTCTCAGCTGATCCCCAATAGCTTCGAGTCATTTTCCCACAGCCGTGCCTTCCCTGTGGCCAACCACAGACCCTGACTAGCGATTCCTAAGCTGGGGCTGGGTCCTCATTTCTTTACTCTTGAGAACATTGCCCATCGGCCCCAAGGCTTCAAGCCCATTTCCCACCCTACGTGTACTTCCAGCCCCTGCCCAGAGGTGCCCCTCCCCACCTCACAGCTCTTCATGGGTCCTGCTTCTGTTCTGGGGAGGCAGAGATGTGGCCCAACTCAGGTCTGCAGCCAAAAAGAGGGGATGTGATTTAAAACAGACACTTGATAAAATTCAGCCAGACCCTTTCTCTGCCGTTGGGTGCCATAACCCACCCAGATGAGCTTTGCAGAGGGGTCTTACTGGGAGGCAGACTGGGGGGCTTCATAAAACAACTGTGGTAGATTGTTAGGCCAGCTGCCCGGTCCCCCAAGCCTGCCCCTTCTAGTCTCTCCGGCAGGACAATCCATAGATTTAGAATTCCTTTTCCAATCCCCTGGCCCTGAAGGAGAGCTGAGCCGGAGTTTAGAGAAAGCACAGCAATCCCGCTGCTTGGAACAGGGAGGTTTGCCATTATAACAGGCCGGCCGATTCTCGACATGTTCCTGATGAGATTAGAAGCTCCTGCAGGTATGTGTTTGTGGCGGCCTTCAGCCTGTATCAACAGATACGATGACTCATTTCTTCCCCAGTGGAATAACTGAGGGCTTGCTGGAACATACCTGGGGGGCGGGGAGCGGGCAGAGCAGCTCCCCCCGAAGAGGGACATGACTGCCAGGCGGAGTCTCAGGACTTTTGGGGAGGGATTGATTGCATGGGGTCCCTGGGTTTGCTAAGCCCCTTCAGGGTCCTGCCTGGGGCCAAAGAGCAAGGGAAAAGTTCAAATGCAGCAGAAAATGCTGAATTTGAAGGAACTGTGGCCAGATAGGGCTGCCCCTGCAGAGAGCAAAGTGGGATAGACCAGGGCTGGGGGAGTCCCACGTTCTCTGTTTCTGGAGATTAGGGCTTGGGGAGTCTTTCTGGACCAAACCTTGCAGGAGAATCTGCCCAGTGGGATCTGGAATAACTGTGCCTCCCCCAAGAAAGGGAATTTTGCAGTAAAGGATGGAAATCTATTTTCTCCTCTAGCACATAGCTGAAATATCAAGCCACGACTGGCTTTCCAAGTACTGAAATCCCCACAGCAACCTCTCATAGAAAAGGGAGAAGAGCAGATCACTGCCAGTGGGGGACTTGCTTTGCCCCCCATTTGTGGACAGCGTACACCGGGCTGGGATGCTTGGCAACATCCCTAGTCCTGTAAGGATCCCTCAGGATATTGCCCAAATGCCCCTTTGCTTCCTGGCACCCTTTTCTGGGCTCCTCACTGCTCTGGTCCCCGGTGGTAAAGAGAAACTTGCTAGCAGCATTGCCGTCTTGCTGCCAAGACATCAGGGCTGCAAGGCAAGGTTATCCCTACCTGAGCAGAGCCTGCCAGGAAGAAAGCATTCGCACCCCACACCACCGCACAGGTGTGCCGGTGAGCTCACAGCTGCCCCCCAGGCATGCCCAGCCCACTTAATCATTCACAGTTCAACAGCTCTCCCGCCCAACCCAGTTCTAGAGGATAAAAGAGGGGCTTGCGATGCCTGGGTAACAGAGCCACCTTCTGCGTCTTGCTGTGCTCTGTTCTCTCCAGCACCTCCCCACTGCCGGTGTCTAGTCATCTTGCTCCACTAGGAACAAGCCATCATGTCTCGCCAGTCAAGTGTGTCCTTCCGGAGCGGGGGCAGCCGTAGCTTCAGCACTGCCTCCGCCATCACCCCGTCTATCTCCCGCACCAGTTTCACCACAGTGTCCCGGTCCGGGGGCGGCGGCGGCGGCGGCTTTGGCAGGGTCAGCCTCGGGGGCGCTTGCGGAGTGGGCGGCTTTGGCAGCCGGAGCCTCTACAACCTGGGGAGCTCCAAGAGGATCTCCTTCAGCGCTGGCGGTGGGGGCTTCAGGAGCCGGTTCGGAGCTGGTGCTGGAGGCGGCTATGGCTTTGGAGGTGGAGCTGGGAGTGGATTTGGTTTTGGCGGTGGAGCTGGTGGTGGCTTTGGGCTCGGTGGTGGCGCTGGCTTTGGAGGTGGCTTTGGTGGCCCTGGCTTCCCCGTCTGTCCCCCTGGAGGCATCCAAGAAGTCACCGTCAACCAGAGTCTTCTGACTCCCCTCAACCTGCAAATCGACCCCGCCATCCAGCGGGTGAGGACCGAGGAGCGGGAGCAGATCAAGACCCTCAATAACAAGTTTGCCTCCTTCATCGACAAGGTAAAATCGACATGATTCTTTGTGAAAAACCACTGTGAAAGTGGAATTAGTGCCAAAGAAAGTGGGAAGAGGGAGGTCCTCTGACTTTGCTGGTATCTTCCTGGTTTGCTGTTGTGAGTTTCTATTTGTCTCTGTGTCCTGGATTTGTGGGCCACTTTCTTAATTAGACTGGCAGTTTGGAAGAAAAGATCTTACTTCTTTCCCTTCAGAGATTACCCCCATAAAGACTCCTTGATTACTATCTGGGCAGAGAGATGAACCGTGTGCTCCATGTAACGGGGCTGATTACAGAGGAAGGCAGATGAGTTCATTGGGCAGCAGCCCAAGTGCCGTCTCAGCCACCACTGCACTGGGCTGCTCTCCACCCAGCTGTGCCCAGTGCTGTCTGTGCCCTGGATAAGTGTCCTGTCTCCCCTAGAATAGTGAGGTTAGGCGCTTCACTTTGAATCTCCCATCCTGGGGCCCAGGTCCAGGCACTGCCCGTGGGAAGGCTTAGGGGGACAGCGTGAGATGGTAGGATAACTGGGAAACTGACCATTGAATCCTGAAATCCAAGGTCCTCTGCCTTCAATCCTCCAGGTGCGGTTCCTGGAGCAGCAGAACAAGGTCCTGGACACCAAGTGGACCCTGCTGCAGGAACAGGGCACCAAGACCGTGAGGCAGAACCTGGAGCCTCTGTTTGAGCAGTACATCAACAACCTCAGGAGGCAGCTGGACGGTATCCTGGGGGAGAGAGGCCGCCTGGACTCGGAGCTGAGGAACATGCAGGACCTGGTGGAGGACTTCAAGAACAAGTGAGTTGTGTTGGAGTGGAAAGAGGGGTGGGTCTTGGCACCAGATGTACTTGGTAACCAGACTACTGCTTATGCTTCCCCCAAGGGCTGAAAACATATACCTTCCATAGACACTAGAGTACTGAAAAAAGAAGCAGGTTCATGTTAGAAAGTTATAGCTGCAAGCTCAGTCCCTCTGCAAGGCGTTTAACCACTGGCCAGAGCAACAAGCTCCATGCCCTTTGTACTACTTGGTGCGAAAAGCAGTCATATAATCCTTGTTTGGTGGGACTTTCCTCCCCAGTACACTCAAAATATGCAACATGGGATTTTTGATGGATTCCCCCCAGAGCAGGACTTGATGACACAACCTAACTTAGTGGCTCAAATAATTTCTTTAGTCCTTATGAACCAGCAGTTGGGCTGCTAGGATTTTTTTTCAAAGACTATAAAAAGCATTACAGAAATTGACTAGATGTGGAGTGGGGAGAAATAACAGTTTCTCTATAGAAATGTTTTTGAAGCAACCGAATTGTAGCAATAATAGAATGATTATCTGATAGACAATTGCAGAGAAAACAGTTTCCTAACGGGTAAGAACCTTGCCCAGGGGCTCACGCTCCCAGCGTCCCCTCCCTCTCTGTCTGTATGATGCGAGAAGCGCCTTGTAGTGGGAAGGCAGGCTCACAGTTGATTTTTTATGCAGTAAAGACCCCAGGCTTCACCTGGCCATCATCCTTTGCTAAGCACTTCCCATCCTTTGTGCCACCAGGTATGAGGATGAAATCAACAAGCGCACCACCGCCGAGAATGAGTTTGTGATGCTGAAAAAGGTGCGTGGGTAGCAGAGATCCTGTCGCCCGTGGTTACACTTACTTAAGGTGCTGTTCATTTAAGTCAGGGTGAAAGTGGGGAGCGGTGCCAACCATCCCTGTTGCCCTAGGACGTGGACGCCGCCTACATGAACAAAGTGGAGCTAGAGGCCAAGGTCGATGCACTGATGGATGAGATCAACTTCATGAAGATGTTCTTTGACGCGGTAAGAAATATTCCCTGTGCAGGAGCCCGAATGATGGTCACTGGGACACCACCAGGGATCAGGGTCTCCAGGATTAAGGATTGCCAGTGGTTCCTAAGCTATGGACACATCTCTGTCTTTCTGACTTCTTTAATACTATCAATGCTTTATTAACTAATAAAGCCTTTTTTTAAAGTCAAATTTAAAGCAAAAATCCTCCTGGATAATCATTTTGCAGAATGAGATTTAGAGTGAGTTATTAGAGGCCCTGGTACACCTTTCTTGGCCACCTCCCGTTTCTGGAGCACCACCCTCTCTCGGTTTACTCCCACAGCAGCAGACCACACAACTACATTCTTTTAAAGTAAGATTAGAGTCTGAGAGTTTACATGGTAGGGGTTTCTTGAGGTTCAGAGGGGTTTAAGTCTTTTTAAAAAAATAGAATTAGTAATGATTTGGATTATTTATTAACTTACCTAAGTTTTTTATGTTGGAGTTATTTTTTTTCTCAACTTGACATAGCACAATGAGGAGATTTGAATGGACCTGACATTAAATAATACAGAAGCAGATAACTGACTTCATTTTTTTCTTTCTAATTTTAATTTTAATTTTTTGGATTTACAATGTTGTATTAGTTTCTGGTGTACAGCATAGTGATTCAGTTATACACATATACATGTATATACATATTCTTTTTCAGATTCTCTTCTATTACAGGTATTATAAGATATTGAATATAGCTCCCTGGGCTATATAGTAAGACCTTGTGGTTTATCTAGAATCAGATGACTGACTTCGAGTCTTCCCCCGCAGGAGCTGTCCCAGATGCAGACGCATGTCTCAGACACGTCCGTGGTCCTGTCCATGGACAACAACCGCTCCCTGGACCTGGACAGCATCATTGCTGAGGTCAAGGCCCAGTACGAGGAGATCGCCAACCGCAGCCGGACAGAAGCCGAGTCCTGGTACCAGACCAAGGTGGGTGATGTGGCAAATGTGTCCCGAGTGAGGGATGGACACAGGTCTAGGATTCCAGGCCATGACCAAATGTAAAGGATGGGGCTCCTGAAACCTGCTGAGGCCTATTAGGATGAGTTTTGGGAATAGACCTGTATGCATCTACCACATAAATTCAAGAACCTTAAGAGAATCTCACCGAATTTCACAGCAGTGTCTCTAGAAAAGCAAAGGCACTAAAAAGGATATCATCTAAGACCAGCTGAAGGCCCCAGATAACGACACCGCCTGCCACCTCTTGGTAGCTCGTGCCCATGAACTTGGGAAAGTGTTTCCATCCTCATCTAAATGGAATCTTTCCTCTTTTCCGGTGGCGCCAGTACGAGGAGCTGCAGCAGACAGCGGGCCGGCACGGCGATGATCTCCGCAACACCAAGCATGAGATCTCCGAGATGAACCGGATGATCCAGAGGCTGAGAGCCGAGATCGACAACGTCAAGAAGCAGGTAGGGAGAGAAGGCAGGGAAGGCGCCTGCGCTCTGAAAGGCAGACCTGTTTTGTTTCATTTTACTTTTTCTAAACACACAACGCATACACACAGCTGGTGGGAGTCCTGGCGTTCTAATGTTCCACCATCCACACTGACCAGGACAAATGTCTTGGCTTCTCTCTGGAAGCTCAGAAAGAGACACCCCAGACCCAGCCCAGCCTCTAGAGTGGCCCCACTCTGCCTTCCGTCCCCTCTAGTGCGCCAACCTGCAGAACGCCATCGCTGATGCCGAGCAGCGTGGGGAGCTGGCCCTCAAAGATGCCAGGAACAAGCTGGCCGAGCTGGAGGACGCCCTGCAGAAGGCCAAGCAGGACATGGCCCGGCTGCTGCGCGAGTACCAGGAGCTCATGAACACCAAGCTTGCCCTGGACGTAGAGATCGCCACCTACCGCAAGCTGCTGGAGGGCGAGGAGTGCAGGTGCGTGACAAGATTGACACCACGAGCCCAGGATGGCCTCACATTTGATAAAGTGCAGCTTCTCCTCCACTACAGGGTATAAAACACATGCACGGGGGGCCACTATCTTGTGCATGATGGTTATGCATCATTAATCCAATGATCCAATCCAATCCAATCTGACATCTGGACATACAGCTGACCTACGCGATGTGACCTCAACTCACTTTTCTGATCCTATTCCCACCACCAGTATTCTTGGGTGCTGCCTCTCCTTCAAACAACTAAGCAGCTCAACAAATGCCTTCCCCATCCTTCAAGTACTTCTTTCAGGAAGCCTTTCATAATTATTCCAGCTGAGTTAAATTCACCTGCCTTTGGATTCCCAAACTCTGTTTTATTCAATCTTCTGACACTGCCCCAGCCTACTCCCTGTTAGAAGTATTTCTGTCCACATCCAGTCCTCTCACAGAATGTAAGCACCGACGAGGCAAAAACGACTTCATACGTATTCGTAGCTCCCACAGACTCTCACTCATGCTTTCCCTATAATGGGTGGAGGAGAGTGAGAATGATAATTTTCTTCTGATAACCTGTTTCTAGGTCAAGTCCTCTTCCTTGGGACGTCTCTCCAGAGAGCTATCTCTTTCTCTAATTTAAGCAGTTTTTCGGGCATGCAGGCTCCTTGCTCACAGAACAAACTCTAAACATGAGTTATCCACGTAGGCTTATGCCGTCTTTGGGGGGCGTCTTTAACTCATTTCGATTTTTTTCCTTTCAGACTGAGTGGAGAAGGTGTCGGACCGGTCAACATCTGTAAGTAACTTTGAACAGACATTAACCATGATGATATAGGGGGTATTTTGTGCCAAGTCAGAATCCTGCTGTTTCTAGATACCAGACCCTCCTAGCCCCAAAATGGTTATTTAAGACACAGTGAGAAGCAGGTGATGGGGAAAGAATACAGGTTGAGACAGGAATCAACGTGGCTCCTAAAGTGTAGGCTCCGTGTATGACACATCCTGGACCCTGTCCCCCTGCCTTGCTCCTCCTCCCGTCCCCCAAGGACTTAGCACTGTCCCTTACCTACTATGTTTACCAACTTTTTATTAGGGACCGTTGCTAAGTGACTTAGCGCTTCTGAGCCTCATCTGCTACTGTGTCAGAGGGGCCGGGTACAGTGCTAACACCAGCAGGATCAAATAGATTAGATGCGTAGGATCCATCTGACAGACTGGGCTCACCAAGTGTTCCTTCCTTTCTCCACAGCCGTTGTCACAAACACCGTCTCTTCTGGCTACGGCGGTGGCAGTGGCTTTGGCGGTGGCCTCGGTGGTGGCCTCGGTGGCGGCCTTGGTGGCGGTCTGGGCGGTGGTCTTGGCGGAAGTGGCGGCGGGAGCTACTACTCCAGCAGCAGCGGGGGAGTGGGCCTAGGCGGCGGGCTCAGCGTGGGGGGCTCTGGCTTCAGCGCTAGCAGTGGCCGCAGCCTGGGCTTTGGCAGCGGCGGGGGCAGCGGCTCCAGCGTCAAATTTGTCTCCACCACCTCCTCCACCCGGAAGAGCTTCAAGAGCTAAGAGCCTGTAGCAAGTCACTGCCTCCCAAATGCAGGAGCCAGCCGCGGTGACTGCCTCTTCTAGGGAGTGGCCCAAGCCAAGTCTTCTCTTTTTCTGGAGTGTAGTCAACCAAGTCTGTCACAGACCCACATTCTTTGGTTTTCAGAACGCTCAACCCCTAGTCTCTAGCCTCCTCTGTCGCGATTCTATGCTCTGCTTCAAATCAGCTTTGGGTCTCCACAGCCTGATCCTCAGTGACAGAAGAATCCAAAGTTTTCCGGTCTCTAAACCATTAAAACAGAGTCCCCATCCTAATCCCATCAGGTCTGACTACCTCCAGAGTGTGTTCAATAAAGTGCTTTTATAATATAAGCTGTTGGACAGAATTGTTTTTTTCAAGATCTACAACCAGTTAGAGACCTTGGTGGGTCCATCTGTCCAGGTGTGACTGGGTCCCTTGAGGATTCACAAGGAGACAGAGCGGCTGTGGAGGGGGAGGGACCATCGTAGGTGGTCCAGAGACTCCAGGAGGTGTGAGAGTGGTTGCGATGCCTCTAGGATGAGGGAGTCTCTGGAAGGCATGAAGGGCAGCGTTCTGCTGTGTTGCAATTTGGACAGATTGGCGAGCTGTTTGTTGGAGCGAAGCCCATTCAAGGTGGATTAGTTTGCAAGTAACTACATAATGGGCTCAAGTCAAATTTGTAAGTAAGGAATATGTTGCCTTGAGACCCCAAAGAGGCCTAAAAGGTATTAGGCCTGTTCTAATAATGTGGGTGCTGAAAGGGTCAATATCTGATAGTTTCTTAACAGTGTTGAGGATGGAGTGGCCCTCGGATTAGCAAATCATTTCAGGAATTTAACGAAGGTGGCTGAAGCTTGCACTATGTGTGAGATGATGGCCCTTCCTCTTTTTGTGAGCTCCTTTGTGAGTCTTTGTTGGCCCTGAACGAGTGTGTTTAATGAAACTCTTCAAAGGGGGATTCACCAATGTAATAGCATTGGAGAAAGTCTGATGCATTTAAGATTTTTTTTCATTTTTCAGTTTTATTAGGTAGAATTGTTACAATTTGACTGCACATATACAATATATTGCATGTAAGTACATATAAACAATATACTGCACATATTTTTAAATTTACATATATGTACTGTTCATTGTTTCTAAGAATGGTTACAGCTTTAGCTTTTTAAACTTATAGTTATCAAAGGAATAAAGCCAACTGCAAAATAAGAATTAACTCAAAAAAGTACATACACCCCACTATTAACAGCAACATTCTTTATAATTGCCACGATATAGAAGCATCCTAAGTGCACATCAATAAATGAATGGATAAAGGTGATGTAACACATATATACGTAGTGGAACACAACTCACCCATAAGAAAGAAGGATATTTTTGCAATTTGTGGCCCTTCATTCACTTTTTTCTTCTCTTCACTTCAAAAACCAGAATTTTATAACTGGCATTGATGCATTTAAGATTTTGCCTGCAGTAATAGTGCGTGATGGCAGGGCTGCTGAGGCACTCCATGAGCATCTGGTTAAAGATGTATCGTGCCCCTTTGGAGGTGAAAGCAAACTGATGGAGAGGCTGTTGCAATGGGCACTGAACAGAATATTATTAGCTAAATCTATAAGAGCAAAATATTTACCAGTTGCTGATTGGATCGAGCCAGCAATTTCAAAAATATTGGGTAGGGAGCATTAATCGGTTGACCATGGCATTAGGGTTGTGGTAATCCAATGTGTGTCACCTTTATTCTTTCCAAGTTTAAAAATAGGCCAGGTTGGGTTGTTGGATGGAGAAATAGTGAGCATAATAACCCTTTCTCTTATTTGGAGAAATACATCCCCTAAAATGGGTTTCAGTCTTTGAAGGCACTGTTTTAATTTACATTGGGGCATATTAACTATTTTAACTGGAGGAAGGCCCATGGAGTCCCATTTGGTCAAGCCAATTTTTAAGTGTCAAGGATTTAACTTAATTTTAATTTGTTACTTATTGGGTCAGAGTATTCATGACCACTGTGAGATATATTAAGAGGGCAGTAAATGGTATGATCATGTGAAATTTAGGCAAATCAGTAATTCTGATAATTGAGGTGAGGCATGCCTGTTTGTTCTCTAGTTTTTGTTCAATAACAAATAAGCATATGAAAAGGTGCCCACATCATATTTCATTAGGGAAAATGGAACTTAAAACAATGAGATACCACTATGCACCTACTAGAATAGTACAAATCTAAGACTCTGGGAAAACCAAATGCTGACCAGGATGCAGAGTAACAAAAACTCTCATTCTTTGTTGATGGGAATGCAAAATGATGCAGCCACATTGGAGACAGCTTGGCAATTTCTTGCAAAACTAAGCATAATCTTACTATACAATCCAGCAGTTGTGCTCCTTAATATTTATTCAAATGAGCTGAAAAGTTATGCCCACACAAAACCTGCACACAATGTTTATAGCAGCATAGATTCACTGACTATAAAAAATGTACCCCTCTGGTGTGGGATGTTGATGGCGGGGAAGGCTACATGTGTGAGGGGGCAGGGAGTATATGGGAACTACATACGTTCAATTTTGCTGTGAACTTAAAACTGCTCTAAAAATTAAAGCATATTTAAAAGAATGATTCGACTATTTTAGACAACTAATATATGGTTACTTGTGTTTGTATGTGTGTGTGTGTGTGTGTGTGAAAGAGAGAGAGAAGTGGAATTTACTATGGCTCTGGGTAGATACACAAGAGATGTGCCTGGCTGGGCTGGCTGTACATTTCCTCTTGATGCAACAATTATATTCCTAGGTGTTTATTTAAGCAAAATGAAAATACTTGTTGACAAAAAGACTAAGTATGCTCATAACCGTTTTATGGAATTTAACCTCAAAATGGAAATGTTTTAGGAACCCATCAATCAGAATGGCTAAAGAAATGTGGTTTATTCCTACAATGGTATCTTACTCAGCAATAAAAAAGAATGAACTACCGCTATTTATGACAATCTGGATGAATCTCAAAAACATTTTGCTGACTGAAAAAACCAGACATACACAAATGTATACATATATTTATAAATATGTAAGTATAAGCTGTATGATTCCATTTATATAAAATTCTAAAATAAACAATTCAAGGTGGAAAAATCAAACACAGTGATTGCTTGGGGCAGTGGGATTAAAAGGAAAAAGCACAAAGGAATTTTCTGAAGGAATGGAAGTGTTCTACGTCTTGATGTTATGTGGATAACAGAAGTGTGCAAATTTGTCAAAACTGAACACTACAGTTAAGATCTGTGCATTTCACTGTATATAAATAATATGCCAATAAACAAAAACATTTAAGAGAAAGAGTATCTCACATTTCATGTTTCTATAGTGGAAATTGGAAAGAAAAAAGTAAATTGGGAATGGAATCTAGATTGACCAAATTAACAATTTCTGCCACAGGGTCCAAGCTTTCCTAGCCATCTTGAGTGTTCTTCTGGTCCTATTGAAAAAAATCCAAGCTGTTTCCCAGAAGTGGCTGAGGGACGAGCAGAGGAAGACAGGGAGGAAGTTAAATGTATCAGACCCCCCTAAGGCCTCCTTCCCAACATTAGTTCCAGAGAATAAACGATCTGTCACTAATTCCAACCTTAGGCTTAGAGTAAGATTATAAAGGATTAACAAATGGCAGTAGCCACTGACTGCCAAGATGTCTCAGAGGAGACAGTTTGAGGCACATTTGCTCTCTAGGCCATTCAGAAGATTTTGAGATGAATTTTTTGGGTAGGAATTACTCCAGATCATCCTGAGTTGGGGAGGGGGGGTGGAATTACCCAGTACATTCGTGATTAACCAATATTTCCCTTTCACTGAAATAAAGGGAGTTCAACCAGAAGGCGAATGTAATAGGACATCATTCCACAAGGCTGATTACTAAGTAATGATTTTGAAAGTTTCAGTATTTTATGAACTACTCCATGCATCACAGCAGGTTGCGCTTTCCGCTCCGAAGTTGGTGCCACTGTCTCCATCCTTCACACGTGTGGCTGCACGTATTTCTCTTTCAATGGGTGCTCCCCAGGGACAGGACTGAGTCTGTGGGATTCCCTCTGAACGGCGTCGTCCTGCACTGGGACTTGATGATTAGGCACTTGGCCTTAAGCTTTTGATGGAATGTGATAATAGCCTAATAGCCTGTTCCTTGTTCTCATCTGTCAGCTCCACCCAGGGATGCAGAAAGACAAGGTAAATCCTCTTGAGGCAGAATTTCCATGGGCTCAGGCTCCAGGGGACGACTCCTGCCTTTCTCTTTGCTGGGAAACTGGGAAAAATGCAAGAAGTACACATTAATCCCTGGGCCCTAGAATGAAGACTTTCCTCGCTCCCCAGCCATCAGACACAGCAGCAGACTGGATGGAGGCTTCCCCGGCAGAGAGGAGCGGCCAGTCTCCGCAGCCTGGCAGAGAAGAGACTGGCTGTCACCGAAGTTACTCACGCTGCTTTGCTTCAGTTTCTTTCACATAGTCACCTGAGCTATCACCCTTTGTTTTAATTTTATGAAGGTCTGGCTTCCCTGCCCTGCTCCTCTGGGAATATATAACTTCCTTGGGCTCTACCTCGGGACACAATTCAGCATCGCTAGGGAGATTTCATCTGAAAGGTCAATTCTGTAACCATCTGGTGGGTCCTCATTGCCGAAGAACACACCCTGTTCTGGGTGCAAAAGCAGGGGTAGAGGGTGGAGGACCGGACCCCAGAGGAGGAAAGATGCACAGCGTAGCCCAAGGCAGCAGTCTGAAAGTGGGCTAGGGAACACAGGGTCCCTCCCACACCCAGACCAAGAAAGATAGAGAAAATCACGGGCAAATGAATCAAGTGCAAACTTGACGTTTTAAGAGTGGTGGGAAAGAGTGGAATCAGAAATGAATCTGCCACGGGGGTCCCTCCTCTCTGATCCCCCCTCCACTGTCTCAGGAGCCCTCATCATCTCTCATGAGCCCTCTTTGTGACCTCGCTCATGGTCAGGGTCCCTGGAACTGGTTCCCAGGACATCATTCCCTGGCAGGTGGTAACAGATTTGAGGAATAAAAAGATATGTATATATCTTATATATTAGATATAATATATTATAGAATATATATATATATTTACATTGAGAGAAACTTTTAAAACTAGCAATAGGAAAAATACTTGTGTCAGGAAATGAAACATGGTACTTTATATCACTGATGCCATCTGGTGCACATACCAAACTTTAGGACTGGGTATTATGTGGAAGTTAAACCATGCTCTGATAGGCTAAATGGCTGACTGTGAGGTTCCTGCTGACATTGAACCATTGAATATACTTCATTCGGGGATGAGTGTGCTCCCACCTTGG